TAGATTGATTTCTGAAGGATCATGTGACACTAAAGACTGGAGTAATGGCTGCTTTGCCATCACATGAGTACATTTTAGAAAAAAAAAATTAAATAGAAAACAGTTATTTTAAAATGTAATAATATTTCACAATATTACTGTTTTTACTGTATTTGTGATAAAAAAAATGCAGCCTTGGTGAACATAAGAGACTTCTTTTAAAAACATTAAACAAATCTTTATGACCCCAAACCTTTGAATGGTAGTGTAGTATTACCATTATTTTAAAAAATCAGTTTATGTATTTAAGTGTGTATAAACTATGTATGGTGTTTGTTAACTTTGTATGCAAGTGTATTTACGATCATTCTAACTTAAATAAAGTCATTTTCTTATTCTTGTGGTGAATTGTTAGTAGGCCTATCTGCCATGTTAGATTACCAATTATCTGTGAAAATATTTAATACAAAAAAACAGGTTTGGAGTTCTCATATTCCTCTTTTTTATGTTCGGTCTGAAGTGCTGATAAGCATCTCAGTGATATTTAAAATTTAATACGTAGTTCATTTTCATTTGATGGGTGCTGTTTTCCTGTATGAAGACACATTCAGAAAGTTCATAAATAGTGACTTTATGTAAATGGTCTTCCCATAACAAGTTTCCGAAAAACTGGTAATTCCAGCATAATCCCAACAGGAAAAGACCATCTAGAACCCGCCCAAGTACCCGCATATTGTTTCAAGAACAGATTATATGTTTCCTGTGACAAAAGCACAAGTGGTGTGCATCTGACTTACTGTGCACATTAAAGGTGAATAAATAGCTAATATGTTACAGACATTTTATCTGTATATCACACAAAGACTAGAAAACAACTCCAGTACTGAACAGCATTAGTCTCATACCTGAAACTTAGCTCTCTCAAGACTTATTGAAAGACAGTCGACATATGAAGATGAATGAGTTTAATCAATCTCATTCAGCTGTAACGAATGTGAAAGAACCGAGAGAAAGAGAGAGAGAGAGAGAGAGAGAGAGAGAGAGAGAGAGAGAGAGAGATAAATAAAAAGAGAGAGAGAGAGAGAGAGAGAGAGAGAGAGAGAGAGGGAGTGTGTATGTATGTGTTGGCGGTTTCTCACACAGCTCCCCTTTCACTCTTTCTCCACCCATAAGGCGGCCGCTCAGCATCTGTGTGTGAGCGGATCAGAGTTGAGCCGGGAAACAGCAGCAGGCTGAGCGCCGCTGTCAACGACCGGCTCCGATACCGGACCACTGACTCGAAAAGTTGACTTGATTTCTGTCTCCAGCATTCAGTCTGTAGCAGGTTCAGGTAGGTGGTTGGTTGAATTTGTTGTTGTTGTTTAATATCTAGTAAATATGATTCTGTATTAAAAAATGGGGAATCACCTTTGCCAAGCACTGTTTAATACAGACATAATCTAAGAAAGGCACGCGCACCGAGTCACAGGAATTCACGTTCCTTAAAGAAACTGCGTGTTTACATGTTAGGGGCAGAAAACAGATTTGTTTTATATAATTAAATAGTTCTCCACACCTATCACCAGAGAGAGAGAGAGAGAGAGAGAGAGAGAGAGAGAGAGAGAGAGAGGGAGAGAGAGAGGGAGTGTGTATGTATGTGTTGGCGGTTTCTCACACAGCTCCCCTTTCACTCTTTCTCCACCCATAAGGCGGCCGCTCAGCATCTGTGTGTGAGCGGATCAGAGTTGAGCCCAGTGCGGGAAACAGCAGCAGGCTGAGCGCCGCTGTCAACGACCGGCTCCGATACCGGCCACTGACTCGAAAAGTTGACTTGATTTCTGTCTCCAGCATTCAGTCTGTAGCAGGTTCAGGTAGGTGGTTGGTTGAATTTGTTGTTGTTGTTTAATATCTAGTAAATATGATTCTGTATTAAAAAATGGGGAATCACCTTTGCCAAGCACTGTTTAATACAGACATAATCTAAGAAAGGCACGCGCACCGAGTCACAGGAATTCACGTTCCTTAAAGAAACTGCGTGTTTACATGTTAGGGGCAGAAAACAGATTTGTTTTATATAATTAAATAGTTCTCCACACCTATCACCATTTATCTTTGTTATGGGCACAAATATAACTAGAAAGAATTAGGCTCTTAAAAAGCAGACCCGTTTGGTGACATTTTTTTACGGCTACTGACACTTATTAGTCAGCTGAGAAACGCATAGCATTTTGAAGAAGTATAGACATGTGAAAATAAATAAATAATAAAAAAGGACAATTAACATTGCATAAATAAAACGGCATTAATAATTAGGCTATTGTTAATTATCATAGACTGTAGACCGATAATCGGTTTGGTGGCTTTTTATGGATTGTTTTTCAACACTTAGCTGAGAAAGGCATTGCATTTTAAACTTAGACAAACAAATAGACTGTGAAAATAAAAAATGGCCATTTAGATGGCAAAACGACGTAGCCTAATTTCAGGGCCGCTGCTGGCCAAATGGGTGCCCTAAGCAGAATTGTATTGTTGTGCCCCCTCCCCAAAATATTATGGAAGTAAAAAAAACACCTAGGCCTACTATAGGGGTCAAAATAGAACTTTAATAAAATATAAAAGTAAATAATTAAATTGTAATTAAATTGTATTATTTACAAATTACAATTGTAGACAGTCGCCTATATGGCTATGATTTTACTAATACAGTTGTCTGATTGATTTTATAGTCTCAAGCATTCAGAAATCATACAAAAGAAAATTAAGCAGTTTTACTACGATAAAACCAAGGATTCGTTTTTGTAAATGTTGTGATGTCCACATGTTTTTGTTGAAGAATTTATAGAGGCTAGCATTTCTATCGCAAAAAGGTGGCCAAACATTTAAAGATTAAGTGGATATTTTAATTAAATGGTTGGTCAATATTAAGGAGGATTTGATCATCCTGAAAGTGTTACAACAGCAATTACCAGGCCTTTGGCGCCCTTTGCAGGCATTTGTAATAATATGTAATGTACATAAATTGTTTATTTTGTATTACATTATGTATTTTAACAGTGTTATTCAATGAAACCATACGAGTATTATTAATTTACCAATCATTATTGCCTCATTGTTTTTGTATAATGCATTTTATGTCGTTTTAAAGGTTGTTGTTCGCTTAGGTCTGTTTTTATTACCACAAAAATATTATCTGAATATTTCGTAAATTATTATATGAAGCGATTTGAAGTATCAAAACCATGGTTAATTTGTGGTTACCATTGCTACAAGAATCACGTTTTTTTTTTTTTTTTATTCGTAGTAAAATTATGGTTAGGCCTAATTTTCCTAAGGGAACATGGAAACTGAGAGAATATTAAGGCAGATGCGGCGGTGATATTATTACCGACATTAAAACACGTTATTAACTTCAACATCCAAAAAAGTTTCACATGATTATAAACGTACCTAAAAGTGATGCAGGGGCTTTATCTTGGTTTTTTTTTTTTCTTATCTCGGCGCCGGACTACTGATGTCTTTTCCCATTTTATTTATTTTATTTTATTTGTCCATCAGTTGTGATCATTTGCGTTATACATTAAGCAATAAAAAAAAAAAAGTTGTGATCATTTGCAGTCAGCCGCAAAGAACTGCTGCCTGGAGATCTCCAAATGGGGGCGGGAACTCCAAAACGGGGTGGGAGCTCCAAAATAGGGCGTGGCTTCCTCCCATTGACAGACAGGCACATGACACGCTTGTGCAATTTTTTCCCCCAATCCACTTCAGTGCAAACGCCGCCCCACAGCTGATTCTAAAGATTTTATTGGTTGTGTCAATTAAAGTGTTGATTTCCTACACTATGCTACAAAAAATGCTAACCCTTAAACCTACCCCACACCTGACCCTAACCTTAACCAGTCAAATGGACTGCACGGCGGGATTGGCGCTGAATAGCGTGGTAAAGAAAGATGCATTTCAGGAGGTAAACAGTTAATAAGATTATGCGATATGAGATCGTTCCATAACTCCCCAACTGGACCTCATCGGACAATGGCACCTTTTTAGTTACACCCAGCGTCACTACCCAATATTTATTTATATAGCATATTTTATTTTAGACGAACTAGAAACAATGTTTAATTTATACAATTTTATTTTGAAATGTTAGTCAATAACAATTGGCTGGAGCCAGAGCCAATGGTGAAAGTCTTTGCGCGAGGAGACCCCGCCCCATTTTGGAGGTTCTGCCCACTTTTGGAGTTCACGCCCCATTTTGGAGATCTCCGGTCTGCAGTTATATCTACTTGGAGACATGAGGTGAGAGCGAGCCGGGCCGGATGCGGGAATGGCGCGTCACGTGTGCTTCGCCTGTCTACTGCATTCACCGTAAAACGCATTTGTATAATTATGTATATATGTTCATGTTTATATTTTTATTTACGTATATGTATATGTTAATATTAATATAGAACGAATTTTTTTTTTTTGAGCAACAATGGTGCCCCACGCAAACATAGGGAGCGGCGGTACTGTGTCATTTAACGGAACTAATTATTAAGAATTCACAATTAACATGCTTTTATTGTTGTTATATTGTAATATATTTTTTTTATTATTGTGTAAATTTAATAATCAGTTCTGCAAATTGGTTATGCAAATATGATATTCTGTATCTGTCGTAAATAAAAACAGTATTGGTTGAGAACTATAGGCTGTGTAAGGCTAACGCATGAAAACATCTAAACGTGTGTCCTGTCATTCAGTGTTTCTCCGGGTTGAGAGAATGGGCCGCTTAACTGTGCCTATTATAACAGTTAGTGCTGGCCTCGATTATCTATCGACCCAAATAGCCTAAATAGATTGGGCTCACATTAATTGGCAGGTCGATGCATTGGCACTGGCAGCTTCTCTCACTGTCTCCCTCTTGGCATGCTGTCAGTCACAAACAGTCCTGCAGTGCACTCGCTATTTTTGTTCCTGTCTATTGGAAACTGCTCAATGCGCTGACAATAGACTCTCTTTGAACCGTCGGTCCATTTAAAAGCGCGCGCGTGCTTGTGTACATGTTGCTAAGGGATCAGGACAGTCAGTGTTATCTCGGTCCGCTCTGACTAAGCGACTGTCATTTAAAACATTCTGCCGGTCGCTGCACGTAGCGCTGCATCAGATGAATGAAATTCCCGGAATGCATATGCTAGCCACCTGCCTATTAGTCGCTGCTGTTTCATACTGGTACAGCAGCGAGCTTCTGACAGCGCTCCGTCTGTTTATTTCAGACTCAGCCCTCGGCGGGGACATGCCGGAACCCGAGGGGAATCGTCTGTCACCGCAAGGTGTCCCTTACACCGACCTGCCGCACATCGTCAACGCCGACGGACTGCACCTGTTCTGCCGTTACTGGGAGCCCGACAGTCAGCCAAAGTAAGTGCGAGACATTCATATGCAAAACAGACACAGGTCAGGCCTCTTGGGATAAAGCGAAAGATTCTCCCGTTGCAGTCTCCAGGAGAGCAGGACGAGAGGCTGATAAGTGTTTACGGATGTTTCCTTACCGAGCTTAGGCTATTTTTAGTCCACTTTGAAGTGTCTGCCTTTCCATTCCAGCACCTTAACGACTACTTTAAAACGCGACACGCATTCATTACTACAAACAGGCTATAACAGAGCAGGTTCATGTTTGCAGTAAACGTTAACAGTGGGTTGATCTGAGATTTTCTGCGAGGTTCTCTTTTATCTCTTTTGCAAACTGTTGGCCCCATCACATGATGTCTAGCTGATGAGTGAGGAAATAGACGAGGGAAGTTTCTTGTAAAATCCTGTTTTTAAAGGTGCAGTTAGGAATATATCAATGTACTGCTAAATAAAATATTCACATATAAACTCAAAGAATGCAGTATGTTTTAATGTTTTATTACAAATAAAAATCATTTATAATAATAATAATAATAATAATATAGTAAAAACGCTGTTGCAAATGCATCTTGTCATGAACAAGTGAGTAATGTTTCTCATTTATATTTCATGAAAAACCCACTTTACGAACACTGAAAATGATAACTTAAGTGAATTCAATGAAGGATTCAAACGGATAACTCCAGTTGCTGAAGCTGCATCTGAAATCGCTTCACTGCCATTCACAACATCTCTCCTGAAGCCTCATGGGATAGTAAAATGTCCATGTCTGGATATTTTCGGAAGTAGTAGGTCCTCTGGGTACATTTTGCTTACTTTTTCAAGAATATTTGTGACATAATACTTGTCTGTTTAGTGAGAAAGTAGACATATTTGGATGTATGATGAGTCTTTTTAAATGATTCTTTAAAAGATGTGTTTGTGAAACACACTGGATGTGCTGTATACTGCTGATAAGTTATGCTGGAAACATTAAAAAAATATGAACAACATTGTAACGAATCATCCACTGAAGGCGAGTGTAGTGAAGAACCCAAGTGCAGTTTATTTACAGAGTGATCCAAACAATAATCCGAGACTTGACTTGACATGAACAGACTAGACTCACCGACAGCAGGTTACAACATCAATACACGACGAGAGACAATGGCAACATGATGGCTACTTATAGCAAACAATACAGGTCACATGACAAGAACAAACCAATGGGAAACAAGACACATGACTAGGACTACCAATCAGAACATGACACATACACAAAGCAGAGATACATGAGGGCAAGGGAAGCATAACACTGACAGCATGAAACAATTACAAAATAAAAGACATGGAAAACATGAACATGACAAAACCCAAACACCACATTACAAACATTTTGGAGAAACAACATTAAAGTGATGCAAACTGAATGAAATGAAGACTCCAGACATACCAATCTTCTACAAAAAGCTGTTTTATTTTACACTCAGCTGGCTGGCTTCTCATGGGTGCTGCCCAGTTGACATCACATGCCGTGCAAATTAACCGACATGTTAATAGTTTATTTTATAGAGAATTTATATCTTACAGGCAGTGCCTGCTTTCACTCACAATGGTTTTCAAGTGATATAAAGCCAGTTTCTCATAAACATTATCTTGTTAAATGACTACAGTATACCGTCCTGAAAGGGGCCCACTCAGTATCTATGCGGTGAACGCTGAAGGGAATGTCTTGGTTTCCATGAGGCGAAAACCCCTGCTCATGGCCTCTTTATGTCCACTTATAGACACACACTCTCTCACAGTACAGATCTGCTACACTTTTTAACTATAGTGTCATCAGCTGTGGTTCTCCTTAGTCATTTTAAAAATAGGTCACATTTTTTAGTATGTTGGTTTATCAGATGCTTCCATCTACAATACAGTTTTAAAAAATTTTGTAGACACTAAAAAGTGGTACTTGAGGCCCACTCGGTGAAACCATTCACTCATATACCTAATCTTTAGGCCAAGCCTGCAAAACTACAAGCACATTATGTGCTTCAAACTCAGTTTGCTATTGTAAAACAAACTTTTTACAAAACTCTAAACACAGTTCTCTACATTACACACATCACTCAAAACTAACAGCTCTTTTGTTTCATTTGGGAAACACTGCCATTTAAATGCCACACTCATTTACTGATGGCCTACACCCAGTGATCATGAAAACACTTACACATAATTTGTTCACTTTGAAATCAAAACTCAGTGTTTTGAGAGAGAAATTATTTGTACTCCCTTGCATTTCTGTTTACATTGTATATATATGTATGATTATATACTATGTGTGTGTGTGTATATATATATATGTACAGTACACACACACACATATATATATATATATATATATATATATATACATCTCACACTTGTCTTGCACACACACACATTAAACAGATTTCCTGTTATCTCTCAGCTCATCAAAAACTCAAGCAACTGAAGCACTCAGAGACAGAGCACTCTTTAGTACAGTAAAGCAAATACTGCTCCTACTAATAATAATAATATTTCAGATAAAAATAAAATGTCCTCCACAATATATATATTTATACACACTGAATATGCATGCAAGCCAAGTCAGAAAGTCAACTTTATTTCTAAATTGCTTTATACAATATAGATTGCTTCACAGCAGCTTCCCAATAGTATCAAATTCAAATTCTGCTGTAAAGCAGCTCTAACAAGTCAATAGTGTCATTATACAGCTTAAGTCAGTTCAGTATTGATTCAGTTCAGTTGCATAACTGTGTAAAATTCATCAGTTGTACATACATATTGTAAATACAGTGTACATGCATATGCATGTATGTGCGAGTACTATGACAAAATCCTGTACTCTCCACTGCGCACTGAACAAGCAAAAGACACACGAGAGTAGTGTTTTAAATTTTTCACATCTGTGTGTAGTTTAGCGTGTATGTGGCTAATTATTTTATGTTTGTGTGTACAGTTACTATGCAAAAATAATTTTTTTACAAGAGTTATAATAGTTTTGAATTAAGTGTTTGCTTTTGCAAGATATGTGTGATGGTTTGCATGTTGTGTGTGTGTTTTGTGGTTTTGTGTGTAGAGTTTTGAGAAATGGAGCCATAGTTAAAAAAACTGTGTGTAAGCATTTAAAAAAAACTGTACGATAGGCAGTGTTTCTGTGGGTGTCATGATTATGTCAAGCAGGTCAAACTCTTTATGCCTACTGTTACAGAGCTGTTGTTTTGCCATCAGCTATACACCATGAAGTGGCCATAGTGTAGCCCAGGAGAGCATGCCGTTACCATAGTTACCACCTCTTCCCCTCTCTCTAATTTGATCTAATTTGATCTCTAATGCTTGTCAGCAACAGTGTATATAACAAGTGTGTGTGTGTGTGTGTGTGTGTGTGTGTGTGTGTGTGTGTGTATATGTGTGTATCTGTACATGTTCATGTGTGTATATAATAAGAGTAAACTGATAAAACACAAAACCATGTGATCTTCAGTAAAATGTCATAAAACCCACAAATATTTTGTTTTGGGAAATGTAAGATGTAGCTTCCCATGTGACTGAATGTGAAAGATTCAGAGCAGCTAACATGAAGGTTATATCAAACATCTGAAGGAATGCTACCAGGATCTCCTCTGCTGCACTCTGTCATTCTGTTTATGGTGAAATATTTAGCCTGTGTTTGATCGTCTGAAGGTTCTGTGGGTATGTTTACTAGAAGCATCTCAGCTTAGGGCGGTAGGACATGGTAATTACTGAATGCTATGCATCCTGCTACAATAAACTGATCCCATATGTATGCTTTTTTTGTATTATGTAACATCATCGGAATGAAGCCAGATAACCCAAATTTGAATCCCACCTGACAAGATTTTTACACGTTTAGTGTAGACATTTTATATAGTCTAAATCAGGGGTTTTCAAACCCAAATATGAGCCATTTCTTCCTAAAATATAAAGGCATGTGTATATTTTATGTATAAAAAAAACAGTTTATACTGTGTGAGGAAAATCCGAAAAAAGGATCATCAAAAAGTATTATTACTAATATAAATGTGATATTATAATAAAACAAAATATAACAATTGTTACAAAAAAAGTAAAAATCAATATTTGTTTTCTGACTTCTTAAAACTAGATTCAGCTAAAAAATTCTTACTGTCAATACAATAAAATTAATCTTCATAATTTCAGCCTTTGTAATAGCAGAATTAAATCGTAATGCTAGCAATTTTGGTAAATGTGATTGTACAAAAAAAGCTATACGTTAAACATATTTCATTAATATCTTAAGTGAACATGTTACCATTGACAGCCCTGAAAGTACATTTTGTAAAATCATTTTTTCTCTTAAATTGGTTGTGGACCTCCTAGCACTCACTCGCTCGACGTCTACACCAAACCAACCTTTGAAAGTAAACATGAACGTAGTAAGGTTGTCTGTTGGAAGTTGAACTTCCACTTAAAAGAATAGGCATGACAGACATGAGCAGCTGAAGAGTCAAACTGTTTACACCGAGTTCACCACTTCACTACTTGGTTTAACATTTAACAGAACTACTGTGCTTACAGCCCAGACATCATCGCACAATGTCCTTTTACAGGCGCTTACATGCACATGTCCAGTGCTGATGCCACCAGATGCAGCCAGCGAAACAGGAAGTGGGTGAAAGTTGAAAAGACCACAGTAGCCCATTGTATGACCCCAGTAATGATTGACAGATCGCTCAATAGATATTCTGGGCATTGAACCCATGCAAAGTATTGAAACACAGTCCGATAAATTGGGTCATGCCGGTCAGCGTGGTTCATTCTCTTGTGTCTAATGGCATTTAGAGAAGAATTCTACTACCAAACATGGATATTTATACAGCTGTCAGTGCAATGCCAAACTACACACACAAATATGTCCCTCACAAGTATAGCCCAAATTGTACAGGCACACAGTTTTTTCATTTTCTGTTTATCTCCACTCTGCCCTTGATGCTTGTTACTTTGTAGTTTAACTACTTTAGATCTGTTTTGGAATTCCAAAGACGTGCACACACGCACACACTAGCAAACACACACAGTAGTCTCTCTGTCTGCCTCGCAAACTCCATTCTCAGGGTTCAAGGACAAAAGCTTTTTGATCTAAGGATGATCATAACCACAAACACACACAAACACTTCCATTTTATCTTACACCAGTACCAGCTCGTAGTTTGAGACTGAGAGGCTTTATTTTTAGTAAATACATTTCTGAGTATGACAGAGAGATGGATAGAACGATTAGCAGTTTCTCCAAATAGAAGTAAAGATGCTCACTATCATTCCTCTGAGACCATGTGAGCCCATTATACATTTACAAAGACTCTTTTTGTTACTGATTAGAGGCTGCATTGAGGTCAACAAATCTGCACAAGTTTGGATCTATTAAAGCTATTCCCCATTTCTCTCTCTCTCTCCTTCTGCCTTATTTTTTTATGGGTTTTTGTGTGTATGCTACTAATGAGCATATCTTGTTATTCTGGTGGGAGACTGTTAGTAGGCTGTGTCTGTATTTAGTCAACTTATGTACAAGCATAGCATACAGATACCCGATTAGGCTGATACCTTTAGCTTGTACACTACGCATTTGCAATTAGTATTATTTATGTTCTATATCGTAAACAATTAAATAAAAATTATATTTTTATGTGTACTTAGTAAACTATAATTATTATCAGATAGTTGAGACAATGTGACCACCAGTGTAGATCAATTACCGAAGGAATAAATTTAGTAATTTGGTTATTTTTAGAGAATAAAAACCATTCAGAGAAACCAATGTAGTCCCAATTCGAAATGACCAAATCCCAAACTAATGACTCAAAAATAGTCAAGTGAGAATTGAAACTCATAGAACTAATTGTGAAACTTATCTTGTTACTGACCGGTTGTTCATATGACAACATATAGATACAGATGTACATTTTTAGCACAGTTTTGTCAGTAGTATTTTATCAAATAAATGAATAAAATATGTTACCACATTTTGGTTTGTTTAGTATTGTTGTTTAATAGGATTGCATTTATGTCAAAAAGACTGGGAAAAGTCTGTGTAAATACACAGTTTTTTGTTAAACACAATTGTTGTAATTGTTGTTGTTCATTCATTTCTTTCTTATAACTAATAATTAAATAGTTTGGAAACCGTTAAGGAACTGGAATTGTTAAAAGGAATCAGAACCAGATTTGTTAAATTCTTTACAATTCCCTTCCCAAATAAATAATCTGTGTTTTCCTCCACCAGGGCGCTGGTGTTTGTTGCCCACGGAGCAGGAGAGCACTGTGGGGGATATGCTGACATTGCTCACAGCCTGACCCAGCATGGTATTCTGGTGTTCGCCCACGATCACGGTGAGTGGCAGACTCCTAATCAAATGGCTAAAATCCCTAACACCAGAGGTGTAAAGTATTGGAGTAAATGTAATTAGTTACTGTACTTGAGTATCTTTTTGGATACTTTGTAGTTGTACTGCATATCAAAGATATATCTAAGACTTTTACTCAAGTCGTTTTGGAATTGGTGACTTGTAACGTGTAGTGGAGTAATTTTCACTGTAAGGTATCTGTACTTTTACTCAAGTATGGTTTTTAGGTACTCTTTACACCTCTGCCCAACACACAGATTTGTTGGTTAGCAACAGTGCAGCAGTGTTTTGGGTGGTGTAGCAGGGCGTGCTCATTATGAGGCTGTGAGAGTGTGGGGTGAAAAATGTATTTACGCCCACATTTGATTCCTTGTAATTCCTCCACCCATTTTTCCTGTCATTGATAACAGATGTTGTGGGCATGGACATCCTGGGTTTAGAGTGGGGGATGGAGTTGAGAAATGACAAAAATGAAATGTAACATGTAGAGAATATAGAAAATAGCAGGTGCTATGTGTACAGAATGTTAAAGCGGTTTTGAGGCAGTGCCATGGTAACTAATGATTCACACAGAGAGACAGCAAGCCGCCTTGTGATGAGCAGTTGGGGTTGTGTGAGTGTGTGATTTGACTGTCTGGTGTCTCGGTGTGAGTAATTGGTTGTATTGAAATACAACAAACAGAAACCACTACAGTCAGTCTCTCTCTATCTGTTTAATTATTTCGGTTTCTCTCCTCCTCTAACATGCAGTCTCACCTTTCAGTATGTCTGTAACATGCTTTTTGAAATTTCTATTCTATTCTATTCTATTCTATTCATTTGTTTGTCCCATTATTCATTTTATGTTAATTTGCTTGACTAAATATCATGTCAGCTGTTTGCCAAAATTTCCTGCGCTCTTTGTGAGCTGTTGGCATGGGGTTGTGAGTGACAGTCTTCTTTTATCTCCTGTTTAAAAGGAGAGCTGATATACAAAGACATGAGTGAGGGGAAACATATGTTTTGAGTATAATTCTCTTTCTCTTTCTGTCTCAGTTGGTCATGGCCAGAGTGAAGGTGAGAGAATGGATATCAAAAACTTTCAGATTTACATCAGAGATGCCCTCCAGCACATTGACATCATGAAGGGCCGGTACCCCAATCTGCCAGTCTTCATCATTGGACACTCAATGGTAGGACACCGTCAACAGATTTTGAAACCAGTTTGCCGTGTTTTTCCATAAGCAGACAGAGGTCAAATGCCTTTTCTAGGCCTGTTCACACCAAGAACGATGGTTCTCAAGATTAGATGACAAATAATCCTACATTTTCAGTGTAAAAGCTATGACTGTGAGTGAGAGTGAATATACGTTAATGTTAGAGAAAGAGAGTAGACCACACTTGTATTTCCCTAACCACAGGAACTTTTTGCGTAGTTAGGCATGTGATCAAAATTTTGGGGCATTTTAATATTTTATTTTACATATTGATTTGTGTTGTATTGTATTCAAGGCAAGGCAAGTTTATTTATATAGCACATTTCGTACACAATGGTAATTCAAAGTGCTTTACATAAAAGAAAGTAAAATAATCATACAAAAAATAAAATTAAT